CGGACTTGCACCCCGGCATACTTCTATCGTTCCGCTTCCGAAAACTTAATCCCTTACTCCCACAGAGTTTGCGCTGCGCCACGCCCACCCACACATTTTATTGCCCCAAGTTTCAAAATCCGCGGGGCAGCCCGACGGCCCGGAGTAGATGGAGGGATAGTCACCTTGCTCCCACGAGGGCGTCCTTGGGTTGACCCGGTCGCGAGGAGGCGTTGAAGTTCACACTGTTGGGGAGACCTCGGCTGACGAGCCCTGCACGAGGTTTGGCCCGGGACACGCCCCCGGCGCCGGACCCGACCCGAGGGTTCGGGAGGGTTCCGCGGCCGCCGCGACGGCTGGCGGCGCTGCCGGGGGGAGGGGCCGCCAAAGGAGACGTGTCACTCGCGGCGCAGCCGGCCCTCGCCCCTGCCCCGGCGCCCCGACGGTCCGGCCCACGCGCCGTGGCCGCCGCTGCAGGGCCGGGCCAAGTTTCTTACCTGCAGCCTGAGAAGCGGGAGGGAGAGCGTGAGGGCAGAAGCCGCGTCGCCGCCGCGGAACCGGGAGAGAGAAGCCGGCCGAGCCTCCGCCGAAAAGCCACCCCAGAGCAGCTGCAGACACCGCGACCCCGACGCCGCCCGCCCCGTCCGCCGTCCGCTCCGGCCGCTAGCTGGCTGCGTGCGCGCGTGTGGAGTCGTGGCACTTTCTGCCTCGGAGCTGGCGAACGGCCCCCTCCGCCGGGATCGCCGCCTCCTGCCTTCCCCACCCGCGCCAGCCATTCATCGGGCCGCCTCTTTCCATTGGCCCGCGCCCCGCCACTCCGCCGGGCGCTGGCCAATCAGAGCGCGGGAGGCCAAGTAGCGGCGGCTGTCATTGGGCAGAGAGGAGGGTCTCCGCCTGGGCCAATGGGAGAGGGGAGGAGCTGCAGGGAACCGGGAGGGCGGGAGCCGTGTCGGGGGCGGGGCTGCGCGGCGCTCGGGCCCCGGCGGGGGTCGGAACGGGGGCGGGCCGCACCGTCAGACGGGGGAGGGGGACGCCGACCGCCCACGCCCCACTGTGGGCCCGCCGCGCCGCTCCCGGAGGCTGACTTGGAAAGCGGCTCTGCCTGGGCGGGAGGGGGGAGGTTCGAGTCCCGGCGCGCTGGGCCTGCGCCCCTGAATCCCGACGAGCTGAGATGGCAGAGGGTGTTACCCTGCACAACCCACCAACAACCGGGAAAAATGCTTTATTTAAACCCAACTAACTTCCCCCAGAACAGCGCCCCCTCCGGGCCCCGGGTGTGAGGACAGACTCTGCTGGGGATCAATCCAGGGAGGGGAAGTCCCTATCTTCAAAGAGACTGCAATCAGCACCAGAAAGGATTTTCTTGAGTAAATAGAGGAACTGGGTAGAAAGGCCAGAGGTGTATACGGAGTGGAGGGCGACGTCTTTGCACTCATTTTTAGGGAGGGTACAACTGAGGCACAATCTCCTCCAAACCACAGCTGGCAGAGTAATAATTACAGGCCGCCTTGGGCTTTTACTCCTTGAATGGGGAGGGCGAGAGGGTCTGAACCAAGAAAACACCCATTTCCCAGAAAACTGAGCAAAATAGTACTTCTTCATTACATGGCATTATTTCCCAATGTAAGCCAACACCCTCTCTTAATAACCAAATGAATCTTTTAATTAAGACCATTTTAAGCCTGAGTTTTAACTATTATATCCGTTTCTCTTAAACCTAACTCTTTGAACTTGATCCAAAGCTAGGGTCTTTGAAATTAAGGTTTCTGAGAGGCCAAAAGGGCTGCAGCAGCCTGATCTGCCCCACGTGACTTTCCTAGCCCCTGTGGCTGAGAATCCTGCTCCTAATATCCATATCTTGGCCGATTTCATATGACCCCCCTTTTTGTTACTGGTACTGTACTGGTGGGTGTTAGGAAGATGTGGAAAATATAAGCCATCGAAATAAAGAGGGGCTGGGGTGAAATAAAACCGCTCATTCCTATTTTTAATCTCAGCAGTTCCTTGGCATATTAATGATTAATCAACGGGAATTAACCTGGATTAGCTTTCCAGGGGCGAGCTCTGGCTTGAAATAAAAATCAAGAAATTCAGCTTCTTAAAAAAAAGAAAAGAAAATAAAAAGAAAGGAAAGAAAGAAATCCATTGCCCTAACTGGTTTGGCTCAGTGGATAGAGTGGCGGCCTGCAGACTGAAGGGTCCCAGGTTCGATTCCAGTCAAGGGCATGTACCTTGGTTGCGGGCACATCCCCATTGGGGGGTGTGCAGGAGGCAGCTGATCAATGTTTCTCTCTCATCGATGTTTCTAGCTCTCTATCCCTCTCCCTTCCTCTCTGTAAAAAATCAATAAAATATATTTTAAAAAGAAAGAAAGAAAGAAAGAAAGAAAGAAATCCAGCTTCTGGCTGGCACATGCTACCATCTAGTTCTAATTGAGCATGGGTAAACCAGTTACCATCTCTGAAAATGGGTGCACTCCTCTAGGACAATAATTGCCCCTCTGGGTTTTAGACAGGAAATACATTCATTTGTGTTTATTGAGTGCCTATATGCAAGCAGCCTTGAGCGATATACTGACCCAGTAAAGACCCAACTGTCCTCAGGGACTTTCTGTGGGCAGAGACTTCCTTTATCTTATTTACTGTTTAGGTTTTCTCGGAGAGAGATCCTGACAGGAGGGCTTGGGTTTAAGTGACTCGTTTTGGGGATGATCACAGGAAACAATGGTAGAAAAATGAGATGGGAAGGAAGAAAAGTGGGTTATATACCTACCCACTCCTAGTCCTTGGTTGAGGGCTTCTTCTGGGGGGACTTTAACTTGTCCTCGTGCACCATCAGCCAGAGCAAAGTAGCAAGAATCCCATGGCAGAAGGTGAGTGCCTACAGGGCACCGAGGGGTTGGGGGTTAGGAGGGGAGTGGTCACAATAGTGTCTTCTACCCAACTCTGACCCAGTACCAGCACAGAGTAGAGACTCAGTAAATACATGTTCCATAAATATTGTTAAATGAAATATAAGATTACAAACTCCCTAGGAGTAAGGGGTGTTGATATGTTCCAGTATGGAAACCTTTCCTCCCTCCCTGTCCTGTGTTCCTCCACCAGGCTCCATCAGGGGCAGGTCAGCTCCCACCCATCCCCCATCCTCTGACCTGGCCTGGCCACTGCTGTACCCATGAACCGCCATCCTTAGCCCTGCTCAGCCTCATCAGTGTATTTCAGCCTTGCTCTCTCCCAAGGTGTATCTAGGAAAAACCAGAACCACCCAGGACTAGATGGACAGGGTTGCCTGCATGGGAGTGAGTGCCTGCCCCTGCTGCATTGTCTACCATAGACCTGTATCTGCCAAATCACACAATCTTCCATGGCAGGAGAGAAAGCCCATCACAAAGTGCCCTCCAGGCCCATCTGCTCATTGCCAGGCACCAGGCTAGAGCCTGGGAAACAGATCCCTGCCATCCCCCTGGATGACGGTCCAATGAAATACTGTCACGTGTAAACTGGCCAGAGAGAGAGAAGCCCACAGACAGGGATGGGCAGGGACAGGCAGGGGTGTTAACCTTCACTGAGGACAGTAGAGGTGTGACAAAAGAAGCTTGAATGGAGTTAGCCAGGTCAAGAAGTGGGTGGAAGGCCCACCTGATGCAAGAACAGCTGGGCAAAGGCCTGGTGATCTCAGCATGATTCACAAGGGGCAACTACAAATTGTGTTTTGCCAAAGCCTGAAGGATGAAGGAGAGGATAAGAGATGAGTCTCAAACAGTGATCATAATGGCATGAGAGAACTGTTTGGGGGCGATGTAAATGTTCCATGTCTTGGTGATAGTGATGGTTACATGGTCAAATTATACACTCTTAAAAAGAGTGAATTTAGCCCTAGCTGGTTTGGCTCAGTGGATAGAGTGTCGGCCTGTGGACTGACGGATCCTGGGTTTGATTCCAGTCAAGGGCACATGCCTGGGTTGCAGGCTCAATCCCCAGAAGGGAGTGTGCAGGAGGCGGCTGATCAATGATTCTCTCTCACTCATTGATGTTTCAATCTCTCTCTCTCTCCCTCTCCCTTCCTCTCTGAAATCAATAATATATATATATATATATATATATATATATATATGAGTGAATTTAGTTTTTAAGCAAATTATAATTCAATCAGCCTGATTCAAAGAATATATTGGGTTTTAAAACAAAGCTATTTTATTAGGGAAAACTAAACATACAAGAATAATTACCTAGTAGGTTTCTTTTTGTTGTTACTGTTGTTATTAATCCTCACCCAAGGCTATTTTTTTCATTGATTTTTAAAGAGAGTGCAAGGGAGGGAGGGAGAGAGATAGAAAGAGAGATGAGAGAGAGAGGTATCAATGTAAGAGAGAAACATATAGATTGATTGCCTCCTGCACCCACACCAACTGGTCAGGGATTGTGCAATCCAGGTACATGCCCTTGACCAGGAATTGAACTCACAACCCTTCAGTGCTCGGGTCAATGCTCTGACCATTGAACAACACCAGCCAGGGTGACAGTACTTTGCTTTCTATTACTAAATTGCAAATATTATTTTTAAAGACTAGGCAGAAAGATGAGAATATTTTGTATCTTATGGTGTAAAAAGAGGTTTTGCTTTATCAACTCTGAAAGGATGATAAATGGTATACAGAATAAAATGTCACACGGGGGAAAAAAGCATCATAACAATATATAGCATTTTTAGGTCTTAGATGCCAGGCATTATTCAAGATGTCCTATAAATAAGTAAAATTACTTAACGCTCAGATCAACTGTGTGCCTCTTAACTCCCTTTACCTTTTGCCCTCCCCCTCCTTCCTCTCCAACCACCGTCAGTTTGTTCTTGATGTCTATGAGTCTATTTCTGTTTTGTTTTGCTTTTTAGATTCCATATAGAAGTGAAATCATATGAAAACACTAAATCAGAAAGACATATACACCCCTATGTTCATGGCAGCATTATTTACAATAGCCAAAATATGGAAGCAACCTAGGTATCCATCAATAGATGAATGTATAAAGAAGATGTGATATGTATATATAGGGTGTCCCAAAATTCATGCAAGATTTGCAATTGAATTGAATTGCAAATCTTGCGTGAAGTTTGGGACACCCTATACAATGGAATATTGCTGAGCCATAAAAAAGAACAAAATCTTGCCATTTGCAACAACATGGATGGACCTACAGGGTATTATGCTAAGAGAAATGTCAGAGAAGGACAGATATCATATGATTTACATTTTAGGCGATTACATTAGCAGTGGTGTAAAGAATAGTTAGGGTGGTGTAATGGAGGCTCCCAGGATCAGTTAGTAGACTTTTGCAAAATTCCAGGCAAGATATGTTTGATGTGTTAGTAAATATTTAACCATTGGCTATTGGAGGTGGGAGATTGGGGGGGGGATTCCTAATTTGTAGCATTTGCCAATTTCTGTGGTGTAAACTCTTCCATCATAGTTGATTTCAAACACTAAGGTAAAGAGAAATTTGCAGGAATATAACATTATATACCATATAGATAATCTTACAAGTATTCTCAAGGGATATATGACAGTAAAATGTATTCAAATAACTTGGGGTGATAGGTTGAGTATTTATTATTTTTGTTTTTAACATAATCTATTTCATTGTAAGTTTATATCATTAAATTTTAATTGAATTTAATACTCTTCTGAACCAGAGTGGAGTGTATGTGTGTGTGTGTGTGAGAGAG